TAACAATTATGCACCGTGAGAATTGATGAGGTTTTTTCTTTGTTCTTGTAATGTTTGGGTGATGTGTGTTTTGTTGAAATATTTTGAGCTGAATATTTTGAAGGAATTATTTTTCCAGTTGTAATATTTTGAGTTGAGTTATTTTGATGGGCAGCCTCATGGTCTTGGGAGAAAAAAGTGTTGTATTAATTTTTGTTAGGAAGTATTAAAGATGGTCCGAGGACCCCCAAGGCGGGTCGAAGAGGAACATTGGATGTAGTAGATGAGTGAAGACAGTGATGGAGACCCTGAATAAGATGCACGTCGCTGGGGCATTGCTGGCTTAGTGGTTTGTAACGGGGTGGATGATACGTCATTATCCTATGTGGTACATGGGAAGCAAAATGGTAGAGTTGTGCCGAGTTGGATGATCGGCCAATGCGTTGGTGGTTGAGCTCGTGATGATTTTTTTCGACAATAACGGAAGGCGTCGAATACATATTTCGTTATTTCCATGATGAGAGATTAGATGAGTAGCTGAAGAACTCTGTGGGCCGGGGGGAATAGGTCAGCTGGTAATTTGTGAATGTAACAGCATCATTCTAAAATCCTCATTCATGTTCAATACATTCATTCCTTTTTTTATCTCTGTAATTTATGAACAAGTATCAATGTTATATTGAATAATTATCGAAGCAATCGGACAGCTTCACTTGATTACTTCTCTGCAGACTCTAAATCAACTTCAATCAACTCAACATGCCGATATAAATTACTTGGAGTCACTCACTGAACCTCAGAGAATAAATGGTGAATTCTACAAAAAAGAATTCACGTGCACGCAAAAAATTCAATAGTAGAAATGGTCCAACCCGCAGAAAATCATCACATGATAGCTCTGTACTATGGTCCCGGGTTAAAAAATTTGTAATTGGAATATTTATTCCGAATTTTTAAAAAATTTGTGGAAAACTTTTCAGAGAGATTTTTTATGAAACCAAAAAATTCGAAAAACAAAACAATTTTATTTTTTGGAAAGGTTCTGAAAAATATTTCAAAAATTTGAATAGGAAATTTTTTTTATAATCTCGATGGCGTTTTTTTGAGAATATTGAAAAATCAAAAAAGTAAGAAAACGACAGTATAATTAAAAGAAAAAATTATATCTAGAAAATTATTTAAAAAAATTTCCGGAATGAATCGTTGAAAAATTTTTTCATTTCCCAAAAATACAATTTTTGTTTCCCGATTATTTTTTTCTTTCAAAATAAAAATTTTCTGAAAAGTTATCCAGACATTTTTTGAATGTCTAACTGTAACCACGAATAATTTATCAATCGATAGCTAATAAATCGATAATGATCTTGCATCGCCAACTCATTTCGCCAATCGCAATGTTGACTATTTAATTTCCATGGTGTGACCGTCCCTTGCGAAAAGAAGGTAAGTGGATAGGAGGGTAGAGGTATAAAGAGAGAATTGAAAAGAAAAACAAGTAAAATGGTAAATAAAAAAGGAAAGAGGGTGGTGTGGAACGTGGTGGATTCCGCGCGTGCAAGCTCACGTCGCTGTCACACGCACGAGAACTCGCGGCTCGTGAGAACTCGAACTGCGCCTATATCGACAAACCGAGGCTTTGGCTATAGCTGATGCTGCTACTGTTTCATTGTCTTCATGGATAAACTCTCATTCTCTTTTTCTATCTGGCATTCTGGCGCCACTGCCAGTTGGCGCCAACATCGGAGGAATTTCTCAGCATTGATAAAGTATTCGGAAAATTTAGCCATTGAAAACACCACCGATTTCTCTCTCCTTTATTTATTATTTTCGTTATTGAATAGAGATCGAATGTTGCGCCAAGTATTTAAAATATATAGTGGCTCTCGATAACTCTGAAGTAGCGTTATTTGAGGGATTAAAGGGGGTGGGTGAGTCGAGTAAAAGTTATGAATAATTGAACGACGGGAGGGAGGATTCGCATTATCCATCATTGAATAAAAATACCATCACGTTTGAACGAATTGAACCACCTGTGCAATATATAAATAAATAAGCCTTGTTGGTATGCAACCATCGAGACAGCTATATACGTGATCGATCGTTGAAACATAGGAGTGTATCGTTACATCGATTGGATAATCGATGCTCAATCGCTTTCATCGTCAATGACCCCCATGGGAATCGTCACTCATCGATACACTCGGCGACTTGTAAATGCATTAGCTGGTAATAAATTATCTTGGGATTTCTAGCACCTCTGAGAGCGAAAAAATATACCGCTGTAAATCTCTACTTGTCTCATCTGTTAAGTTTTAAAATAGCGTTATGTTCCATTGAAAAAGTTAAAGGCTCGAAATGGATTACATATTTTTAATAGTCTTGAATGGAATTTTAGGTTAATTCAGTTTAGAAAAATATTTTTTTGATTCATCAGGGTAATAAAATCGTGGGTTTTAACGAATAAAATTTTTAACGTTCTCTGTAAGTTTTTTTTCAACCGGTTATTGAAGTGATTTCTCACTAAAAGCTTCACTCAACAAACTCATCGCGTTCAACTTCGTGACTCAGATTACAATTGAACCTAAATGCATTAATAAACTTACGCACGAGTTGTGCCTCCCTCTCCGCTCTCGGTGAATTGTGGATGCGAAAATGAGAAAATGAGAGTTATATTCTCATCATATATAATAATCGGTAGATGTTCCCCTCGATTCAGTTGTGAATTATCTGTTTCAACAGATATAACGCATACAATGGGAGTCTCGGAGTAAAACCGATCCGAATCTAATCTGTGACTTATAACCCGGCAGGGCTCACGGCGACGTACATACACTTTGCCAACAACCGTAACACTGTCATAATGCTGAAAATTACGACCTCATACAATATTCAGAAAATACCAAAGTGAAATAAAAAATATCACAAATATATTCGAAGACTGATTTTTTTCCACCCTATGTTCATTTTTAGATGTCAACGCTAAAGAGGAACATAAAATTTTTTAAGTTACGATCGTGGGCTGTTGTCCGCGCCCAACATTCGCCGGCCAGAGTTATTCGGAGAAATTCAAATTGAAAAAAAAAGAAGCATTTTCAACGTGCATGTTCAACGGAGATGAAAAAGAGTAAAAAATTGGAGCTCTTTTGTAGTGCCCCAGCGAAATCACTTTTTTAAAATTTATGCATAATGAGAAAAGAAAATCGTGTATTAAAAATGATGAGCATCGCGATGGGGTGTCTCTTCGGGGGATTCTCCGAAAAGTCATACCCAAATAAAATTTCTGTCAAATAATAACAGAACGTCGAAATCATCGCTACATCATCAATCTGCAATCGGCAAAACTGAATTAATTTTCTTGAACTTGCGACAAATCTTATTTTAAAAAATGAAATTTTTAACAAAAAATGAAATTTTTCAATTTCATTAATTCGCAATTTCATTAATTCGCAAATTGAAAGGAAAATGCGCGATAATTTCAAAGCTTTTGTGGTATTATAAGTGAATATTCGTCGTCACCGTGTATTTTTTCCTGGTAGAATATATTGATTGCGAAAATGTGAGGTGGCCTTGGCCACGAGCCAGTGGTTTTTCGTCTACGATCAGCGACCTTTAACTGATCTTGAACTTGTGCCGACGCCCTTCTGGCGTCGCGCCCGCTTTCCCCGAACAAGAGGAAACAGGCCCCCAGCATCAGACGCTTAAACCGGCGAATTTACTCAGCGACAGCCTCCACTGGTCCATTCCCCATTCTCCCCATTCTCCCCATTCTCTTGCCAATTTTTTTCCCCCGATCCCAGGATTCGTTGAGAGATGACGGGAGCCATTAAACCTACCAAGAACCCCATCGAGCGGTATCTTTTAATATTGCAACTGCAGCTCCAGCTTTATTAGAATCTCATTGGAATAATTTAGACGCGGTGAGAAAAAAATCCGAGATTAAATGCAACGGCGCAAATAGCAAATGGCCAATGAGAAAACGTACACGAAAGAGAAGTGCATCTCGCGTTATCAAACAGGCGTTGTGAGGAAGGCTTGGAGACTAACGGTTCATTCTCTCTTCTTACATTGAAAAAAGAGAGAAAAAAGGGAGAAAAGAGAAAAAGAAAAATATGGTCTCCTGGTTTCTCTAAGAAGGGCCGCACAGTTGATCCTGACCCGATCGCGGGTGTGTGAATGTATACAGTATACTTTGAATACATATTCCTACTCCCTTCTCCCACCTTCAGCTTCTTTTAGTACTCGCTGTATCACAGTTGTCGTACTGTACTCGTGATGGAAGAGATGTGGAGACAGCAGTGGCTCTTTGCGCATTGAATTTACTCTTCCAGAGGGACCTAATGGGGTCCCTAGTGTCAACGGGCCCTTATTATGACAGCATTGACAGCTCGACGCTGGGAATGGATCTGGAGATTAATCAATTCATGAAAACGGGGGGAATTTCGAAAGAATTATCCTGGACTCGAATTTTTCATTGCGCTCTTGGTATAGTAAGATAGTAATGTTGAGATTAATATTAAAGGGAGTTTAGTATTTTTTTTTTTTGATCATAGGAATTATAGAAATTATAGGAATTATAGGAATCTGCAGTAATCTTTTTTTTTTAAGGATAAGGAAACCTACTGTGCCCATCTTGTCAGTGTGATGGATGGGGACAATAGGAATAACGGACGACTGGGATCTTTCATGGATTTTCTTGCAGTTCTATGGAACTTCTACCCTGGAATGGGTTACTGTCGGGGAAAGAGTCGGCATTGTAACACGGTTAAAGGGGGCAATCGTGAAAAGAAAAAAAAAGAGAAGATATCAAACCGAGCAGTACACTCCGTAATTCCATCGATAAAATAAAAAAATTCAGTCAATCATAAACGCTTGGAGCTTGAAGAATGGATTTTTTCAATTTTTATGAATCGATGATTATTTTCTTCTTGTTACGAATTTTTGTGAGCACCTTGTCTTACTTTTTGTTGGATGGGATTGATGATTGATAGGTGAAAATGACGTCCATTGTGTTGCGTCACGTTACTCTCTTTTTATTCATTATTACGAGTTACAATAGATCAATAAATTTTTTTAATGGAGATTTCTATTAAGTTAACGTGATAAGATTAACAATTTTCTGGTACCTGAGATAAGAACCAAAATAGGGGTAATGATTGGTATTTTCTTGCGCCTTTAAGTCTAGTTTCATTCAATAATTGAATTTATTCTTTATTTGCTAAGCATTTTTTTATGAATGATAAGAGAAGACGAGTGAGATGCAGGAATTCTACTATCGGTGGTAATAACATTCCAGGGAAGTATAGCAATACTATTTGATAATAATTGCACGTGACAAATAATTCAAGTAATGTGACTAAGAAATCATTCCCTTGATTGTTTCACTCAATTCCTCACTCTTTATAAAATAAGTCTAATAGTTAAGAAGTAATTAAAGCATGAGTCAAGTAATGATGAAGTTGTACCTCTGAAATAGTGAATAAAACTGAGGTAAGGGAGACCAAAAAAAAAAATATTGAAAAATTGACAGAAAAAATTCTTTCAATTCATCTCACCTGAATTAATTTCGATGGCAGTCAGTCTATTATCCGCATTTTCCTCGTCTGCATTCTTTCCGCACATTTAATTACAAAAATTCCACTGGACGATAAAAGAGTCACATTCTTTCTTCTTCAGTATTTTCTCCGCTTTTCCTTCTTCTCGCATCATTGATATTTTCACATGTCCACATGCCTCCGTTCTTACTCAAGGTTTACAGTTAAATAATTAATTTATCAAAAAATATGTATCCGTTGATTCAAACTGTTGTCCAGTAGCTCTGAACGACTGCACCGTTTTCCCGATTTCTATTCAAATTGGTGAAAGTCAATATTGAAAAGCACCGACGAATGCAAAATTGATTTGTAATTTTTTTACGAATTAATCTTAATATTTATTTCTCCTGATGCGTCGAAGTATCTGCGAATTATTTCTCGCACCGTCGAAATATTTTCACATACATTCACACAAAACCTTCGATTCCCATTCCTCCATTTTTCCACAGTTCACATGATTCATTAATTTTCGTACTCTAATTCTTTTTAATAATCATTAAAACACTCAATTACTCTGACAGTGCATTATACTTCGCGGCCAGCAGCTCAGAGGTAATAAAAATACAAAGTGTAATGATTAATCGTAAGCATTAATATCCATTATCACTTAATGAAATTTCATTGACGTTAACATCCATTCACCTAACATTCATGATTCATCTAAAAGTCCTGTTACCCTAAAAACGATGTAAAATTTACTTTTATCTTGATTGTTACTGTTAATCATCTAATCATCCGATTGATATCGTCAGTTAATCGTTAACACAAGTCAATTCATTTTTTACAATCTGTTATTATTAATAACATCATTTGACTGAAGTTTGCAATCTGCTCTCGTTTGCTCTAATCGCAATTAGAAAACAACGTCAACATCCAGGTAGATCACTATTAAATCTGTAATGAATATGATATCTCATTCAATAGACCCAATAAATGATCCATCAATTAACCAAAAATTGCCGCAACAATTTCGATATAAAGGATAATTTACAACTGTCCGGCAAATTCCAATGAATTCGAATAATTAAAATCTATGATGCAATGAAAAATAGGTAAGATCTGATAAAACTATGAGTTTTAAGAGAAACTATCGGCATTCTCTAGGTTGGCTAATGAATTTCTACAGTATGTGAGAGGAATAGGTCCTAGGTATTACGGATTGTATCAATATTATCAATACCCTTCGATCAAGAAGGATAAACCTGACCTGACCGATAATGGTCACTTGTCCCTAGAATGAATTCGACGTTTCCAACGTCAGAATGGAAATCATTTGATTATCCATTGATTCTTATCGTCACAATTGGAGCAATGTTTCATGTAAATTAAGTGGAATCACGTGAAAAATATATTGAATATTCAGCCTAGACCCGCCCATTGTATGAAATCGGGGACTTCTCGTACGGGCACATCTCTAGATAATGCTTTTACTCGGAGATTTCTATCTTCGGTGAGGAGCACCACTTCTCGTCTTAGGCGTCTTGGTTGTCCCTCTTCTGAAGCAGTAAAGAACCTATTTGTAAAATACTTCTTTGCTATTTTCTATTTTTCCGCGTACCTCCCATCTCTGGCCATTGATAATTCACGTGAGTGCACAGAGTCAAGATTGTCGACTATTCATTGAGGGAAAACAACTTCTGCCCAGTGAATTATACTGAGAAGTCATTAATTCTCTTTAGGAAAGGAAAATAGCGATTTTGCACTTGGATATTTCTCAACATATTTTATCAGAAAATATGTCATAATTGTGGTATCACTACTGAATAAGTCAATAACAAATATAATATTTTTTAATGACTCACCAGCAAGTGGTTGATCCTTGTTATTACTCTTGCAGAGACTCAAGCATGTCGCCAATATTCTGTCATCATTCCTCGTCAATCCATCGAAACTGTTATCCTCCTCAACAGTGAAAGTACTTGATGACAAAACAGTTCCTCTAGTCGTGAGACATCTTATCGCTGGATTTCTACTCCTTGCAAATGATAATGCAGCTTTAGCAGACTCCGCCACCCTAGCTACGTGCTCTGGATTTAGCATCGCCCGTGAATTCGGTGTGCAATCCCTGGGATCTGCCCCTCTCGCTAATCCCTCAAGCTCATTCAGAACTGCAAATCAAATTTCAATTTTATTTTTTCTTATTCCTCCTCATGGAGATAATGTATTTGGAGAGAGGTTGAAAGGATTCCTCTGCCTCCGAGGAGAAAAGAGTATTTTTTTTAATTTTCATCTTCATGAATTTGAGAAATGCAAACTGCCGAGATATACGTATGAATCCTGAGGAATTTTAGGCGTGTATTTGCTTAACGGATACACCAACGCTTTTCCAAACTGTTGAGTGGTGACTTAGGATATTAAAAATTCAATGAAAGGGGATTACCCGTACGTCCAGTGTTACCAATTTCACGGAAAACAATTTCATTAAAAAAAAAAATAGGGAAATGAGATTACGTCAGCTATCTGATTACGTGGAACTTTGGCCCCTTTTTCGGGAAAACTCATTACGCCCGCAGCAAGTTTCGATGGAAAAAATAGGATGGAGGATTAAAAGGGGGACTGAGAGCTAGGAGAAACTAACGGGATTACCCGGGGATTCCCTCTATTCCGTCCTGCGACTAACACTCGAGAGTTTTACTTTGTAGTCTCGTCATTCCTTCCGTCTCTCTCTCTGTGTAACTATTAGTTATAAATAATAAACAAGTGGTGGATAATTAATCCAGAGTGAAGCCCTCTAGAAACACGTCGGAGGGTCTCGCTAATTTACATCGATGTTGAGTCTCAAATCTTTGATAACAGCCAATCTAACTTCCAGAAAGTAAACCATGATGTTTCCCAATTTTCCATTTCTCCGGATAAAATTTTGGAAAAATTTTCGACTCGTGAATTCACTCAATGACCGTTTATTATTTTTATTATTTTTTCTTAACGAAGACTTGATAAATTTTCGCGTTTTATTTTGCGATTCCAGTTATAACACTGGATTATTGAATATATTGAATGCGTTTTCAACTTAATAAATAAAAATAGACTGTAAAATCCTGGCAATTAATAAATTGTTTATAATCTTGATGTAAAAGTATATGATCAAAGAAATAATTCGCTTCACGGGTATTATAGAAGCGAGGGTGTCCAATGGCTAACTGATTTTTATTAGCGAGAAATTGAAGATGTTTTGTTTTTTGTTGGTCATTTGTATCTCGGATAGGATGTGGATGTTGGGTCATCTGCGCTGGACCAGGGATATCGCCCACGCCCGGATCATGGTCAGGGCTATACATATGAAGGCAATGGGTTCTCCTTTGCCCACACATGCATTCATGTATGAGCCGTGAGAACCTAACTGTGAACTTCACCGTTGTTGCAAACCCTTCCCCTCTCCACCTTTTTCATTGGCATATATATGCTGCATATACCTATATCCACCCGATTCTTCTGTCCTTTGTACTCCTCTTTCTATCCTCCCTTGATGTCTCTATTCGTTGTCTTTCTTTATCACATTGGCATATCCCCACTCGACCAGACAGAATGGCCAAGGGTCAAAGGGCGGCAACAGAGACGATTTTGCATAAAAGCACACTTTCGTTTTTCACCCCCACCGGTGCCACGGTGCAATAAAATATACCGTCGAAAAAAAAATATATAATCATGCAAAATGTTGAAGAGGAGGAATTTTAGACGGCGAATTCATCCCGCCTATTTTAAATTCAATCGGGGATGCAGTCAATATTTATTTATCGATCGCTTAAAAATTTACGGGGAAAAATATTCCAGGAATGTGACAATCATTTTTTGGGGGATTTCGGTAGGTTTTTTCTTGGATTTTCTGTGTACACTAAATGGAAATGGAAATGCAAATGCAAATGGAAATGAAAATGGAAATGGAAATGGAAATATTTATTACGATTTTTTCAAATCTAAAAATATGAGATTATGACTATTATATATTTAGTATTGAATATACTTCATTGAAGTATGTTGGAAGTCTTTTTTTAGCGCAGAGAGAAGAGACGAAGGATATTGAATTAATAACAGCGCACAATTGATGTTTCACAAACAGCCAAGTTTGGATGCAGGAAATGTCAGAAGTTCACGATGGAAAATTGGATATTTGGAATAGATTGCACCCAGAATCGAGTAACTATATAACGGGCTTATTTCGATCTGAAGTATTAATACAATTATTATTCGATGATAATCTAGCATCTAATCTAGCATCAGAATGAATGTCAAATTATATTTATTATTAATACTATTAATCTCGAATTAATCTGGGGATTGAGGGAAGAGCACGAATTTTTAAAGTGCATTGAAGTGGAATTTTTCGACAGACAAGTAGAGTTTTTGGTGCTCGAGGCGCCATTCTGTGAGGCCTGCCTCGCCATCGATATTTACGACAGCACTCGTTTTTTTTTTTTCGTTCGTACCTCGAAAGAAAGTCAAGAAGATGAATTTAAGGTACCTCGTACATTATTTTTACATGTAACTACGCTCGAATGGTTGAGATACTTCAAAATCAAATTATGTGATGGTGTTCTTCACATTCTTCGGGTGCCTCAGTCCTTTTTTTTTTTGCCTCGAGGTTACTCTGAACAAAAAGCACGTGGGACTGCTCAACTGGTTCGTGATTGAAATTTTCAAGTCGTGAATTTTCTACTTCGCCATTTTTTTTTAACAGTACAAGGCAGTACACTCAAAAAAAATTCTGATCAGTGAAAAAAAAATGGAGGAAAAATTGGGATCTCCATTTTATTATAATAAATATTTTTTAATCGTGCAGTTAGAAAATATGAAGTAAAAATTTCTAAAATACTTTTCGTTTAATGGGATTTTAAACGATAACCCGCGAATTCCGGAAAAACGTGATGTCACATCTGGTGGACTATAATCTATCCAGTCAGTTTTTCCCCGAGATTTCAACAATCACTTTTTCTCCCCATATTCAATAATCGATTCTCCAAGCACTCAGGACCACAAATATCTGGGATTCCTCTTTAAAACGGAAAACAAATAGCGGGTAAAACCCAATAATCCCTCGATTCATCTGAGCGACCAGGGGAAAAGTTTTATTGCATTTAAATTTGAATGAATACGTAAACTACTTTGAATTTCATTCTGGAAAAGGTGGAGTGAGTTTTGGAGGATTTCATATCTGACCTTCTCCCCTTTATTTCATCTGTGGGAGGACGAAGGGCAGAGAAAGGGGAGGAACAGAGAATTAAATGGTATGGAGATAAAAAAATAAGGGTTCCTATTTCATATCTACCGAGCATGAAGTCTGAATAGGCTGATGATGTACGGAAAATAATAAATTCAACAAAATTTCGGTGGTTGTAAAAGTTACTGCGGGAATATAGTGGCTGTATTTTTAAACGATACTGCGGTCCCTACTATTTCATTGAAAAAAATGTGGAATATATTGGCTCAGGGGATTGTCATTTTCCTCATACGTTTTTTGCATTTTTTTTCCCTTTCATCGTATTTCAAAGAATTTTTATCATTTTTGTCACTTCTATTGTTGATCGACGACGCAATCAATTTTTAAACATTTAAACATTACTGTGGAATTTTTTTTTGAAGAATGATTTTTATTTGTCATTTTTCAATCGATTTCGTGGAAATTGAATTAATTTTCGATTGAAATGTAAAATTATTTGTTATGATATATTTCAATATAATTTTATGATTTTGCGATTGATATATTTAAATTATATTGAGTACGCATTATACTATCGCCTCGTCAATTTTTAAGCCAAGGTAACCGCGTTGGCACAGGATATTTGCATATTGTGTGGTTAATTGAGTAATTTTTATTTGTCATAGTTCATACTTGGCAAGGATATCCCCCGGGAAGTTTCAATGTGAGATTTGAGAATTCCTTGACATCCTTTCTGCTGTAGAAACCTCTCAAACATAACTTTTGTCAGTCAATTCTCAAGAGGTTTACGAAAGCATTGGTAATAGATTTTTGGAGATTATTTGAAGAGGACGATAAGGATCGGATATTATTCGGTATTCGAATAAACGAATATTTTTTGAGAGTTCGACATATGAATTTTAATAATCCATTAATCAGCCCAGGTAAAAAAAATTGTAATCGGAATATTTTTTCCAAATTTTCAAAAAATTTCTGAAAAACTTTTCAGCAATTTTTTTTTTGACACACAAAAAAAATCGGGAGATACAACAATTTTATTTTTGGGAAATGTTTTGAAAAATTTTTCAAGAATTTGTTTCGGAAAATTTTTTAAATAATTTTCTAGAAACTTGTGCGAATATAATTTTTTCTCTTAATTATACTGTTGTTTTCTTACTTTTTCGATTTTTCAATATTCTCAAAAAATACGCCAGCTTAATTATACAAAAATTCTTCAAAACCTTTTCCAAAAATAAAATTGTTTAATTTTCCGATTTTTTTGTTTCATAAAAAAAATTTTATGAAAAGTTTTCCAGAAATTTTTTGAAAATTTGGAAAAATTATTCTGATTACAATTTTTTTTTACCCGGGACTCCAATTCCGATAATTCAAATATATTTTCAATTTATCTACTTCACTTGCAATTATGCCAAATTAAAAAAGCATGGAATATGCAGTCGATAGAAATCCGGATAAATTGTCCGACGAAACGCAAAATCTCTCAATAAAAATTCCTTCTCTCTGTGCGGAAAGTATAATTTTTCCGACATCATAAACCCGTACTTTCCCGTCTGACAATTGCGCCTGAATCATTGCTTGTCGAAAAATCATAAATCAAATCGCATGTTGGCTTCTTCGATTAGTGCAATCATTTCCCTCATTTCAGTTCCCTGGATTGAATGAAAGATCTTTAAATAACTGACGGGAAAAGATAATAAAGACATCTTGAGTATCTCTTTATCCTCAGAGTGCAAATTTGTTGGCCCCAAAACGTGTGGAAATTCGTGAGTGATGTAATGACACACTGACTCGCCTATTTCCCAGAAAGTAGAGAATAGAGAGAAACGTAATTTGAGGGGTTGAAAGCAGGTAAAATTATTAAGGGATTTGAGTGTTAACGCTGACCTAATGAACTATCAATCCACAGGGGTTTGAGGCGAAAAAAATTCAGGAGAACGAGCTGATGATGTCAACGCACGAGAGGAATTGAACAGGTGTTTAGAGTGAGTAACGATTGGTTATGGAAATGACCTTTTCTCAGAAACCCATTACATCATTCAAAACAATTCCACCATGATTTTATTCCATTACTCTTGTCCTTCTACGAATTTTATAATAAATTTAGCAAATGCTATTGTTTAATTAGAATAGATTGTAAATTTATTCAATAATAATATGAGAATTCATTACGCTTTCCCCTCGTTCTTGTAATCATTCGAAATAATGTGTTTTGTTGAAATATTTTCAGCTGTAATATTGTGGAGCAATAATTATTTCAGTTGTCATATTTTTTGTTGTGAGGTAATTTTGGTTTTGGAGGTAATGTTTGGTTTAGAATTGTTTTATTTTTATAGATAATTTCAGAGAGGAGATTATTTTATTTTTATTTATTTGCAGGTACTGGTCCTTTTTTATTTGAATACCCTACACCAACATTAGCTGAATTTTTCTATCAGTGTATGATTTTATGAATTGTTGGGATTATCACGGATGCTGAAAAGTTTGTACGTGATTCAGCGCAGTACCCCTTGGCCTGTAAATTTCAGTGTCTCGACAGTGATAAACTGCCATTTCCTTCCCTATTCCCCCGTTTTCAATCCCCAGGAGACAGAATTTGTGAATCAATGCGAGAGAGAAAATAAGGGCCGGATCGAGAAATGATCCCTCGGAAATGTACTGGATAAATATTTGCACCTTCGAGTAACGAAAGACAATGGGAATATCGTATCGGTTTTATATGAACGTAATAAAGACCTCCACACAGGAATAAACACTCGGGAAAACCCAATTTCCTCATATTCCAAGGTTCATCCGGATTATTACCGTTTAGGAATGATGATCACAATATTTTTCCGTATTCCAGATACTATCTCGCGTGGATAATGAATGAATGCCATTATTAATCACTCATAATTAATAATATGACTACCGTCATTATCATGAATTATCACTATCAGAAGAGAGGGCTGGGGATCGCCCCGCTGCTATGACCATTTGTGGTGATTCAATTTAATCTACTCAGTAATTGAATGTAATCTGTGAGTTGTGAGTTGAAAATGGCAGCTAATCCATTACGCACGGAGAAAATTACCCTTGGAATTTCAACTAAATAGTTATTCTCGATAGTAAATTAGCAATGCACATCAGAATAATTATTCGCTATCTTCGAAAAAAAAAAAGAAATTGGAAAAACTAGTTTAATTTTTAAATCTTGTTATCCTGTTATAAAATGTTCATTGAAATTATTTTCTTCGACTTTTAACAGGAACGCAGGAGAATTTGGGGATTACCCGATATATTCCGCCATTTTGTCGACCTTTTTTAAATTGAAAATGGCGGAAAACATCGGGTAACTCGTCAATTCGATTGTATTACGAGTAAAATACAATATGGAGGTAATTACTCACCAACGAGTGGTATCATAAGTGTAAACAATGGTTGCGCTCCTGATGTAGCTCTAGTAATACTCTGCAGTTGCGATAAATAATCAATAAAACAATTAGTGTCTGGAACAAGTTGTCTAGGTCGCACTTCAATTTCCACGGATACCGACGACTTCAGCAGAATTGCCTGAAACACATGAAATATTATGAATTATTAAACATTACAGAGTATTGAAAATGGCGCTGCATGTGCGCAGTTCTCAAAAAATTAGGAAAAAATGGTGGCAAAATTCCCAGAGAAAAAAAAAATCATTAGTTCCCATTGTTCCTACATGACCACCAGATCGTCGTAAATCAGACAGACGCGGGAGCTTTCATGTGTGTACTGTGACATCTGTTACCCTAGCCATTGCATCTGTTGGACTCATAATAATTATCATCTCTTTCAGAATAATCTGGGTAACGGGAGTTGGTAAATTCAGATTGACAAGGTTTGATGGGAATCGATAGAGAAAAGCTGGTGGTTGGAGTTTGATGGTTACTTTAACGTCCGTTTAAACCCAAGCCAATTTAACTGCCATTTGGATTCAATGCCTCGGGCCTATCGTTTCGTTCCACTTATGTACTTATCGATACTTATTACTATCGCTGAAAGGAGTTATTGGGATTATTCCATGAGAGAATTTTCGGAATGAGAGAAATGAACAGATTGAGCATTTAAATTATCCTCGGCATTTTTCAGCGATTCGTTTTATTAAAATGGAAAATTTTAAGACACTTAAAGATGATAGCTTTTTTTTATAAGTATCAGGGTGAATAAATATAACGTAATATATCCTTGATATATCGTATATCCTTTCAAGTTCATATATTTCTACCTTTTGGCGATGTATATCGTTGTAATCGGGTTGCGACAAGAGTTTACGAGGAAGGTGTGTCGAATGGAAGTCGCGGTAACATCCAAGATGAAAATTGATATTCAAACGACTTATTAACGATTCGTGCCACGGGTGAACGGACATGATATCTTTCCAATTATGTGGCGCTCAAATTATAAGTATTCCTCGGGAATAAGTTCTATCAATCGAATTAACCCTGGCAATCAATTAGTCTTAATTACAAGAGACGTTATTCTTCTAGCTTAATTCAAAATCGCAATTTATGACTTCCTCTGAAATAGGAATTCCAGTCAAAACAAGAAAATCCTCATTATAATATTCGTACTGGAGAAAATCGTTGAGTTATTAGCAAAAATTTATGGTATGCGGTAATCGAGGGCAATTATTTACTTGTTTTTTTTTTCAATTCAGCGGTCGGTAATACAAAACATCGATTCATTCCAAGGTAAACTTCATGATAATAATATTAGTTTTGACTTCACTTGCCGCTCTCATTAGTGAATCTCTAAAAAAGAGTTGGGAAACAAACAATAAAAAATTATTATAATCACGGGGATAAAGATAATAACACGAATTAGTCACCCAGCGATAATATGATGTGCCAGAGATGTCATCATTTGTCAGAGATTATTATACGCATTTCGACCATTTTGTATACAACAATAATCGTTTTCTCGTTTGACTTTTCAGTCTTAATTTTACCACGGGCTTTGGACTCGATGACAGCGCGAAATTCGCATCCAAATTAATTGACGCTTCATATTATTGACCGCAAGGTTACAGACAGTTTTAGCTAATAATTATTGCACCAGCTGCCTTAGAAGATTTAATCTACAATACATTGAGAAAAAAAAAGGGTGGAAGTATTACACGATTGATTGTCAATATTTTTTTTTCTCTTGGAATGATCCATCTGACCAGAATTTTCCCGAAATAACCCAGGGGATCCGCAACAAAGGCTCTCGGGGGATTAAACTCGGTCCAATATTCCGTCAGAAAAACGGAGAATTTTTTTTTCATCATGCATAAAAGCGCTACATAGAACGAAAAATAGAACAATGGGAGGAGAAAGGGGGGGGGGGGGTGTAGATGGCGCTAGGTTTTTCATGACATAACCTCCTGGGGACGGGACATGAGGTGCTCGTAATATTTTCGACCATGACATTTAAAATACATAAAAAAGGGACTCCAACGGAGGAAGTGACCATGAAGGACCAGTCCTTCGGGTGATCGTAAAATATGATCATAATGAAGGATAATAAAATGTACGGAATGAACTAACGAGATTGCGAGGTTATGTCTTCCTAGAGGGAGGAAAAAAAAATGTACCTACGGTTTCAGGAAAAACAATTCTAAATTTCGCCCACGTACGGGGGAATGACTCGTGTACGAGCCGTATGCCACGGAGATTTGACATAAAAAAGGGAAACGAACACGTTGATAGTACATGATTATCCTGCAAACGAAGAATTCCTGTTTCCACCATTTTTATATTTATTTTTAAGGTTATGTAAGACCAGTTCAACGATTCGATGCACGAAAATAACTACAGCGGTAACATTATTTAATCGTCTTGCGCTCACGAAAATAAAATGACACTTGACAATGAGTGATTGTCAGGCAATTATGGTTTATGGTACGTTGACCTCAAATCAGATAAGATTGTTTTGCTAATAACGGCGCTAATCCAAACAATTATTCTGTTCATTGCGATTAATTTTCGAAAAATAATGAAGATGAAAAATATCGGAGACAAAATGGAGGTTGAGGTAGTAAACACCAGTGGCGGGTGAATAATTCTGTAATTCAACGAGTGTATTTTCAAGAGATCAAGTTTTTATTACTCATTATTCTTTTTTTTTTAACCCGCAACAGATGGTGTTTTTTGCGGTTATTAGCCATTCATTCTCACTGATCGTTCCATCATTTACCTGCAGCGTTGCGTATTATTTATCGGTGAGTCTCATGTTGACTACAATATTTCATAATCACTGAACCTAGTGCAGGACTGTATGACGTCATGAATATATTTTTTCTCTGCGGAGAATCGTAAATTTTCATTAGAGTTTTTACCCTCGGAAAGTGCAAGTGCAATTTTGCGTTTTAGGGGTTTACCCGTGGGATTTGTGGAAAAATATTCACAACCCTCCGGGGATTAATATGTGATGAACCGGGGACAATAATGCCTCAGTACCATGCATCATGGAATTATGGATTATTAATGATCCAATTTCACCAACCGGTGGGTATTTTTTCAGGGGACGGAGGAATTCAGTTCCTTCAGTTTCATTTTTCATTGATAGCCAATCTGTAATAATAACGTTGCTGGGGGTAATTCGAGATTACGTAATCACCAACTTGTGGGGTTATTTTTCAAGGCATTTTGAAAGCTGCTATCATCAGTGATAACAGAATTTTCCTATTATCCCCTCATCCCCTATCCCATTAATTTTACTCTGTATTTCGGCTTGTTTAATCACACAAGATACCCGAAGAGTTATCCGATGTCTTTCGCCATTTTGTCGACCGTCGACCGTCGACCGCCTTTCCACGATTCGAAATGGCGGACCCGGATAACTCTTCAAATCAATTATATTATGATATGAGATTAATTTTTTTATTTCAGAAATCAAAATAGTAATAATGATAATAATAATATTGGAGACAATATGTTCAGAATAAATATGGGTCAATCTGTAGATTTTTTTTTTTGCTGATCTCTATCATGTGGCTGATTGCTGTGTACTTCGGGGTTAATATGGATAATTTGGCGATTGTAATTAAATGGTAGTCAGAAGAGAAACGAAAAATCTAAAAACCCGCCCTGTCAGAGATAGAGGTCACAGGGTTAGAACAAGGTGATCCTCACGACTGCAGGAGCAAACCTAACGGTACATAATTAGTTGGTTTAGTGATATATTACATCGTATATATTCAACTATGCAGAAGGTTTGGGTCATTGCACCCTAGGACCTCTAACTCGTTAAACGAACGTATAATTGCATTTTAATTTCCCCATCATTCAAGGATTTTTCACCTATTTGATAATAAATATCGAATAATTATTCAATAATTATAAGTGTCACGTGAAATTGAATAATCGTAAATTCCATGAAATTCGTTGAATTAACGGAGAGTTGGTTTTCAAAGGGACAAAAGTTGAGATTAAAACGAAATACATGGGTGTCTGGGATAATATTATGGGAAGCGGCGCTAACAGAGGATAATTAGTTTAGAGTAATTAGCTGGCGTCGCTGGTACAGCGTCATACGAATAACAAGTCCTCTGGGGTTTTTTAAAAAAAGTTGAAATGAAGGGATCATAATGTATGTGTCCGTCATTTCTGTTGCTCTTATTTCGAAAGGTCATTTTGTAAATGCAGATCATCTGGGATGAATGATGATTTTGGTGGGGGGTAATTACTAGTTTACAGCGGGTTTTCCTGCCATGTCGGGGTGAAATCATCGATTAAACGCGATTCATCATTTCCGAGGGGAAAAACTTTTAATGAATTCGATGAAAATATTTGCCGGCTATCTCGAGTTCATAATTTTGTGCAAGCAGTTGATTCATTCAACTCTCGGATATTATTATTCACCGTACAAATCGTTTACACTCGAAATAGATGATAATGATTCAGAAAATGAACGCAGGAATAATTTATAACTAATGTTATTACCCCATAAAAGTTTATAAATAGATATTTCCATTCACACAGTTATGAAAATTGTTAATATCTTGAGGTGGACATTATACTTATGGTTTTAGTGCGGTATCACTCATAGTCATGTGGCACTGACTTTCGTTGATAACGAGGAATGCAGGAAATTTAATTCCTCTCGGATTTTTCATTGGATTTTTTTTTGTTTTCTCTCCACTTCAATGTACAGTTGCACAAGGGAATTTCGATGATCAATAAAATTCATTGGGGCTTGAAAATTTTCAATTATCAATCGCCTTTTGAATATGAAAATTTACAGCGGATGAGTGCGCTGAATTTTTTACCTAGCAATTTTAATGGTCTGTGATATTAATTAGGGAAAAAATGTTGGGCATGTTTAAAATACGTTGAAGCATTGAGACTTCACTAGACAACTTCGCGATGAGAAAGAGTCCCATCGGAGGTCGATGAATTCCCATATAATTCGTCCTTGAAGCCTACGTCCCTCCGGCATTCCAGACTGGCGAACGACTTGTTTCAGAAATAGACAGAAGATTAACCCTTTTGAGTTTCACCATCACCATCTCTTTCCTCCCTCCTGTATACTCCCTACCATCAGTCCGACTGTTTTATATGCATAGTCCAGCTTTACTACTCAACATTATGATGCACTTGGAATGAATTTTTTAATTACTCTGGTTATTCTTCACGCTAAACTTCATTGGAGTGAAGTTTAAATTACAGGTTCATATTTTGCAACTTTATATTTTATGTATTATAGGTCTCGGGGTTGGGATATGTTTTGCGGCCTGAGTAAGCGCCCCATCGAATAATTCCCCATTGGAGGGTTTTCTCAAATTTTTTTATAGATATATTTCCGACATTGAGGACGTCCATATGTGGGGATATTCAGTACTGATACCACTGGCGCTGGAAAATAATCGGATATTTTTTCGATAGATTCGTTGCTGAGCAACGAGTGTGTCAAATCCTGAGGATGACTATCGAAATATTGTTGCTGAACATCCGCAATGGCCGATTGCGCGATTGTGGCACGTGTGAGGTGGAAAAAAGTTTGAGAAAAAAAAAAAATGAATGAGGCAAAAAGAATCGATAAGACACCGTTTTCTCAATAAACTCCTATCACTGGAATAACCGTTAACCTTTAACTCGGATTACGATGGGAATTCTTCCAGTTCGTTTCTATTATCGTACCCGGTTGTCTTCTTTTACGGTTGAAGTGCAACGCGGACCCAACGTTCACTCGAGTGTGACCACAGTTTATTAAATTAATTCTTCAATTATCTCCTGATATAAAAAAGGGAAAGGAAATCGATCTCGAAATATCTCGAATGAGCATAAGTGTGAGAACGTAAGATGAAACTGAAGCGCCACCACGTCGTTGTGGGAAACTCAAACATTTCGAATGAATACGCGTGCGAAGTTAATTGTGTTCTTTTTTTAAATAATATATTTTTAATAAATTGTCAACAATTAAAAAAAAACGGCCATTTTGTGACAATGTTTATCATTTCGATCCGGAAATTTATTTATTTTTTATATATTTCCATCGAGCTAATATATTCATTCAAGTGATTAATATGTTTATTTAACTGATTTATCAATGAAGAATCCTCGAAAAATTAATTGTTACTTTGTAAATTTGGTAAAAAATTTGAATTGGTATTTTCCCGCAGTGCAGCTGTAGAATTGCTTCAGTTTTGCAAACGAGTGTAAATTATTAAACACCTTTTGTTCCGCGTTGAATTATATCATGAAGGGGTCAGAAATGAGTCATAAAGGAGGACGATGCTCGCAAAAATGAAAAATATAAGACCAGTTTGTAGACGGGAGAGGGAAAATTAGGTGCACACGATTCTATGTGGAGGTTTAGTCACGACTCTGGCCAAGATTCACACGCGTGACGCGGAAATGAGGTCGACAGTGTTTATAATGTTGATTATGAACCCTTGGAAATGTCGGGGGATTTAGTTGATGATGCCTTTTTGCGGAGGTGGATTATTTAAGGGGCTAATTCATTACCACACCGACGGATTCAATTAATTATTCATTGAGGAGATTCTACTGTTACCGAAGTGGATGCACAAAAAATTGACGCCCCACCAGAAATTATCAGGAGATTTAATTTCACGTACGCCAATCATAAACCATTTACCCATTAAACAGGGCAATGAGGATAATTTCAGGTAGTTGGGACGAGTGTGAGAAATCAAGTTACTCCGGACACTTGATGTAGACTAGATTTTTGCATATCCTGTCAAAAACTTGAACTGAGTCATAGTGCAGAGGCTAAAGTCATTCACATAGTGACATAATTTTTTGCGGAAACTAGTTACACCTAAATTTGAAACTCGTTACAAGACACCCGGCTCTCGTAAAACCCCAGTGGAACGTGATAACTGAATCGTTGGAAAGTTGCACTTCAAATTGCGAGTAAAAAAAATTCTTCAGCAATTCTTCATCGACGAATCATTTAATTCCCGAATATTCCGTTGATTCTCAATTTTTAGATAGATATAGAGGAATTTCGTATCACTTTGTCGTCGTTAGAATTTCAATTTTGTCGGAATTTGAAATTTTTTGAGATAGCCCACCGATACAAAAACGTCTTTCGCGCATTGTTATAAATCGAGGATTTTTTCAGCGATGTAAATTCAAGCCCTTGCATCCTCTACATTAGGTGCAAGCCCTTCATCTCTTCACCCACTCCTCCCTACCTCTGAATTCTCGATAAAGTTTCACGTTTTTGCCACCTCTGGGTGTTATTAATGACCTATACCCTACCATCCAAATTTATATAACCCCAACCCTTATTCTCGCCGTTGAAATTTCAGCTATCCCGCTTGGTTGAATCGTTTGTGCCTTCGTCAGACTGATAAGGTAACGATAAAATGGCCCTTTTCAGGAATAAAAAAGACTACAGACGAAGAAGAAAAAGAAAATGGACGGAATGCACCGGGTTTTTTACTGGTGAAGGAAGAACCAGGTGAAATTTATTGGACTCGGTGGAGCTGAGTTTAAAAATAAAATGGGGGAATACGAAGGTGGAAGAATTGTCGGGTGATGTTGGAGAGCGCGAAAAAAGGATGAAGTGGTGTTGGACTAGAAGGAGCCTCTTGGGGTTTTAATATTTTACACTCAATTATTCCATTTTCTTCATTATCGTATCGATATAAAAGGCGTACGATTTGGAACAATCCATCTAAATATCTCCCAACAAGGGCGGGTGACAGAAAATTTTTCGACATTTTTCAAGGTCAATCAAGTTGCAAGTAGCAAGTTGCAAGTAAACAGCTTTTTTTTCAAGTGCCAATCGCATTTTTTATTCCTATGAAACTTGTTCGCTTTGATGAGATGTTTTCAGATAGTTCATCATTCATGTCAATTCCTTCGATTTTACTCGAAAATGTGTGTGAGAAAGACTTACCTGCACCCGTTGTCGATGGCGCTCCTGCTTTCTCTGACGTCTCTCCAACTCTTCCTTCCGCTCGATCAACGACCTTATCTCTGGTGGTGACGTCAGGTCCTTTGGAACTGATGAGACACGGTCTGATGAGGATTCTGGATCGCCGTCGTCATCCTCGCTGTAGCTGTCCACAAGAATTTCTGAATCACTCTGAAGATGAGAAAAAAAAAAATAATGAAACATTTATGAGGAGTTCGGACGCACATTTAAATAGTTAAAGTGGAGGATTGTAGTTCCCATGAATTACTTTTTATCAATCAGATATGACGGATTGTTACCTGTTCTGGAGGTGAACTTGGTGCACTCGCGCTGGAAGTCTCGACTAAAGATACATATTCACTCATTCCAGTTTCACTCTTCTGAAGCTTCAGCACTGGTGTTTCAAGACCGCATAAGAATCCCTGGCCGAAGAACAGGATTTTGTGTATCCTCAGGCAAACCTGAACAACTTCCTGAAATAAATTTTCCCTGAATTAGATGAATGATCCACCACGTAATGGTGACAAGAAAATTAATGAAAAATTTCTCACCATGTCCTCTGATTTTAAAGCGTAAAAAGGCTCTTGTGGATTGGACATGAGAGGTGTGAAACCAGATAACGTGGAATCCTCTGGTAGTTTCACTAAATTGAGTTCTAAAAACAATTCAAATACCATCTATTTATAAAAGATTATAAAGATTCAATCGTGATTCATTTAATTATTTTTAGAACAGAAAAGTTTTTGTTTAAATTCAAATTTCAACTAATTCCAAATTGATAAAGTAATCGAAAAACGTACCATTCTCTCTGCCAGTAGCATCTCGAGACTGAATAACAATATTCCGGGGATAGGGTAACTTCTCCAGAAGATTGACCATCACAGCTAATCTACTCCATGCATCTCCAGGCGATCTGCGCATTTTTTATTAAAAAGAAAAATCGTAAAAATTAACCATAAACTATTCACACGTGAAAACCAGTAATTATCAATTACGAAACAAGATTGCCTGTATTCATAAAACCATTATCCAATAATGATTATAATCAATAAAACAAAGAGTCATCAGCATTTACTCGTCAAGTAATTGTCGACATGAAAATAACTGGTGAAAGGGTCAAGCGTGGACGGCAAAAAGCTCACATTAAACAATATCTTTAAATACACGTAGTTATTTCTTCTCCACATGCCACTACAGGTTTGTTTGAATCGAATTCGTCTCGGTGGCGAAGTCGTCCTTGCCAAGGCGACGCTTGACTCACGTAATTGTTAATCGTTAACGAGAAACAATAATTAACTTATGCCAAGCAGAATTGCTGGAGACGGTTGCGCAAACTCGTGCGATCCTTCTCTCCTCAATATATACTTATATATTTTTTCTCCGTTCCTTCCTTTTGCTTATTTTATGTCTACAATTATTCTCTCTACCAGTGCACTTCGGGTGGTGAGCCTTGGAAATCATTTAATGGTAGATGAACTGCATCTTTGAAAGGATCTTCGGAAGACGCTCATGCACTTCGTAAACTCCTTCGTGAAGGGTTTATTGTGATGCGTCTTGGTTTGATTGTTTAACTATTAATGATTATTTAAATGTTCCCAAATCGGCAATTAACGAATCGTGCCACCACCAATCGAATTCTCCTATCAGAATTATGATTTACGATATTCCTCAATTTTGGAAAGAAAGTTCCCCTTTTTTATTTTTTTATTAGCTGGACACTCAAGAAATTCTCTCATTAGGCTCACGAGATTTTGTTATCTGAATTACGGTTTCATCACTATCGCGATGAGAATTTTCCAAGCTGAAGGAGACAACAATGTCCTTGAGTACTTTTTTAATTATAGTCTTTTCGAATGATCATCCTTTTGTTTCAATTTTTTTTTCTGTACGTAGTCACGTAGACACAAAGCACGAGTACAAGCATCTAGCAAATACCCAGTGATGACCTTTGCGTCTGGCCTCGAGTTCTTTCGAAGAAATAGTTGACACCAAGAAGGCTAGATCATGAAAAAGGTACATTGCCCATGAACCCCAGCTTTCATCAGGATCAACTCATCATCTTGTTATTTCTTGTGCACAAGATGTTTAATCTAATAACTCGTCTCATCTGAAGGTCAATTGGTGGGGAGATAAGGCGGTTAGTGGATTTGAGGTGTGCTGAAGAGGACAGGATTTATCAGGAACTCTGCGTGACTTCCTCAGCGGCGTAATCTGTTGGCGAGAGTGCGCATCCTGTCGTTACCGACTGCGCTCATCTACTATTAACCTAGTACTCATGCCTCGGATACTTGAGAATAATGGGGAATTCCCTGATAACTTGGTTGCAAACAAACGAGAATTACGCGTTGACTCGGGAAATTCAAGGGAATTAGTTGTTGAAAGATTTGTTTTTTTTTTGGAGTGAGATAAAGGTACATTAACGTATATTTGCAGTGGTTTATTACTCCACTTTCTCGAGAGTGCACCGTAAATCAAAAGTTCCTGATGGAAGAAGCATTGGTGTATATAATATATAAACTCACCCCACACGATAATCCGTACAGGAAGGTGGTGGATTCCACACTGAACTATGACAAAGCATCCAGTCGCACCAAATCTGTAAATAACAAATGGCCTTAATCATTTGCAGAAATACTCAAAGGGGCATTATTCAAATTTAGCACTTAATAGCCTGGAGGAACTAATTTTCACAGTTTAAATGTACAACTCGTAGCCCGCACGGTTTATATCTTATCAGTGGCTGGACTACAGCAATATATATTGCACCATCGACCTTGTAAACTTCCTCACCAGTTGATATTAATGATCTTATGGACACGACCGAAGATCTATGTTACCCACCAAGAAAACTCTTTCTCTCACTTTTAGTCATTAAAGTCAGCCCATACACTTTCATTAAATCTTCTCGAGCGTGGATGCCTCACGTGGAAAGATGAATCTTGCTGTTGGAAAAGTGCCGTTAGCGAAAACTCGGAATAGCGATCGAAGATGGTGGAAAGATTCTCAATACATACGCCGATAGATTACAAAAAAGGTGACAAAAATAGAAAAGAAAAATTTAAAACGAAAAAAATATCGAGAATAGAGAAAAAATAAGAAGCATGTACGTGGAATCTTTTATCACTGAGAAATGCAAGATAGTTGGCTATCTACATTGACTAGTTGCCGAAGAAGATATCGATGGAGTTTAGTCGGAGGATCGACGATCGATCTCTCTCCCAACGTGAATAGTTTCTCCATGGTACCCCCAGTGGAATGAGTCGAGCCAAGTACAAGAATTAAATGAAAAATTCAATGAGGAATCTTCAGGTTGAATTCTTGAATGTATTGATGTCGATTAATGTTACCAGGAAGTGGACTCTTTCGTCATCGACACTGACCTTTATCGATGGAGCCCTTGCACGCATCGATGGGTGCATTAATTCCTGTGCACCGTACGAAACCACCAGTGCTACCACTACGCAAGTTGCATAATAAGTCGACGAAGAGATACTCGTGGTGTCTGGTACATTGACATTGACCAACCTCGTTTTCCAGCAGCGTGGGTGTAACCAGGTAAGCTTCATAAATTACTCAAGCTGAATTAAGATGCATCCCAACTTCACCATACACTCCAACCATCCCATTTATTTCATTTTCAACGATTTATTAACCATTCATTAATGAGCAACTTGCAAGCCCTGTTTTCCAATATATTTAAATCCATACGTTGGAGTTGAATATTCCAAGAAAAGTGCTAGCAAATAATAATTATTAATGGTGTCTTCAATACCTTGATTGCTGGAAGAAGAACCTGCATGTCATCGCCGACGACCAGTCTTGGTTGCACTTGGTTCTCCAGTTGTTCCTTCAAAAGACTAACACCGCGCTCCAGTATCAAATTAAACATCTGAAGTGATACCACCAAGGCACGCTCTTGCACTTCCGATCTGTACCCCTGCTCCATTTGTGAATCTGCAAGAAGTTTTACAGATTATTTCACTAATTGTCCATAAATTGTTGGCGATATTCTCAGGGGATTATCTCGGGGATTTCATCGGTAAACAGCGCCACTAGATGCGGCGTCCTTTCAACTTGTGGGGAAATACCAAACTTCAGGAACAACGTGAATACTGCGAATACTTGGTTGTAATACCCAAAGATTCTTAAAACTATCGGATATTTCTTCATTGTTTTATTGCGCAACAACTTGGGCCTCATGATTTTTGCTGGGTGTTTTGTACGGGTGTTATCCTGATTATTGATGTGTCCGAAAAAAGGAGGACAATTCATTATGAACTTTAATAATCATTCACAGAGGCAGTACATTTCAAGTGCTAAAGATAACCCGACGTGAGGGTAATAATTACACTGAACGTGATTCGAGATGGAGAACTTTCTCCCAATCCTTCCATTACTACTAATTAACGAAGAGAAGTTGTAGTTGATGATAACCATACTTTGCCTCTTCCCCTCGCCAAGTACCACACGGGCTAACGAAGTCTCTCGTCTGTCTGGTATAGTAGACGCCGATATTGACTCAATTACTAACCGGTGAAAACGAACGGAAATTCAATTACCGTCGACCATGTTATGACATCGTGGCTCCACTCTCGTTGCAATATCCCCACTTCTAACTAGTTCCTTTTCCCGCGATAAAATTATTTTACTCAAATTCATCACTCAGTAATATTCCCACAATGTTTCATTCCGATTCCGTTATTTTTACTCAAAATAAAAATTTCGTAGTCCCGATGAAATATTGCTACATCCATATAACAATAGCTCAACATGTCGACAATTAAATAATGCATCATGGGGGACATGTAATGTATTATTATAATTTTTTGCGTAATTTAATTCCAATTCCAAGTGTATATTTTCGATTGTGGAAATTTAAGCCGTGCATTAAGACGCGGGTTCGAATGCTCACTGAGAACATGATTAAATAATTCAATTCACCGATGAAACGTTATAATTTACCCCGAGGGAATAAAGATGGTGAAGAGGTGGTGATCCACTCCGATCGTACATGCCCTGGTGTTTGGAATGTTCAGAGGCACTCCATCGGATTTTTTTATTTTTTATTCTCCCTCTGTATCTATCAAACCGCCCACTGTCAATATTACCAACGGTCTAACCGATCGAACAGTGCTTATTAACCCGCCCGCTCCATTTGCTTAGGAACTCCTCGTGCTGAGCATGTGAGTAACATGAGAACCCTCGGTTACCCTCATATATTCACGATTGGAATGTCACTTTTAGGGCCCTCGGTAATATTCCATGTTGCAAAAAACAAGGAGCCAACAAGTGGATATTGTCTGCGGAGAATTCATCGAGTATTACGAATTCCCCTGTAATAAACTCTAATACACCAGCGGAATTTTATGAGATACTGATAGAAAATAAATCACAATCAAATTTATTTATTTCGCGGTATACTACACGCTCATTTCCGATTTCAGACAGATTTTTCATGCAGTTGTACCGAAAAATCTGTCTGCGATATGATTTTCAATGGCGGTTTTAATTGCATGTGATTAAAAATGTCATTGATTAAAGTCAATGTCCCATCCCTCGTGGCATTCTTCCTTCACCTCTAGGTAATGGTAATTTACTGGATTTATGATTTAACGCCCGTCCATCAAACCTCGAAAGACCGAGGCTACCGGACTTCAAACAGAGAATGGAGGCTGATGGAAAACATGTTTATGGTGTCTCAATGAAAAATTAATCAAATGATTCTGAAAACTCGATTTCCCTCGTCGGGAGAAAAAAAAAAGACCCAACTATACCGCGACATTCGAACGTCTTAAAAAAATATTTCCATTGATAACCAAATGGACAAGACGATAATCCCGCAAAAACTCGTTCCATGGAGGAGTTCCATATCTCATGAATCCCATCAAACACCAATTGAATAAATAGCTGAAAGTGCCAACAAATCCATATGATAACCATAAACGAGGCAGTGGACGTCACAAAAATGATTCCCCCGAGTGTAGATTATTGGAGGGCTTTTATTTAATCGTCATTTGATATAAAGAAATAAATAAAAGCACCAGGATGACTATCGAGTGGCTCTAATCATCACGAAGTGTAGAGGAAGGTTGGTACTCGTCCGGCAAATGAGTCACGAAGGGAACGATGCCCTCTTTCTCACTCCTTATTTCCTGTCTTCCTCCAGCTGTTAGAGGGATAGAAAATAAGGTAGATGGTAAGCCATCGGAGGCGAAGGACCTCGAAAGCCCGTGTTACTTTACTAGGTACTGTATCTACACTTGAGGCTCATTGTACGACCTTGACGAGGCCTTGCCGAGGTCGCCGACATGACGATGCCATGGCAGTACCCACCACCAGTACACATCTAGTCATGCCAATAGAAACCTCACAGCGTTTTGCAACCAACAGGAAAGTTGAAGAAAAAATACAAAACAAATGATAAAACATGAATGAAGGAAAAACGAACGGAAGAGAAAAAATTACACGTAATGACGATGATGATGATTGAGTCTGTGCTCTTCCTAACAAGGTTTTGCGTCGTTTATTTTATTCATTTGTTTCGGGTAATAAAAATTTATAGGAATAAACAAAAAAAAATGTGTATGTGCTTGAGCGTGTGGGACTGGGGATTTGAGTACTCGTGTGTCGCAAACAATTCCATTTCGAGTTTAATTATACACTTGGAGTTAATGCAATACGGCTGTGGGGTATAAAAGGGTAGGGTGGGGAGGACTCAGGATGAGGGAAGTTGGTGGAAAAAAGAAGTTTGGTGAGATGTGGTGGTAAAAGGAGAGGAGGACTTTTGCATCACGCCAAGGCATCAGGGGCACGCAAGCCTAGTCTTCTGCGTTCTTGCTTCTTCTTCTTTCATTTCATTTTATAGTTTTGTAGGGTTTTTTTTTACTTATTGGTGTTGTTGGTGCTCCTGCTGGGGCTGCTGGTGGTGTTGTGGGTCTTGTTTCTCGAATGCTCCGGTGAAAGAAGGGAAAAGGGTTCATGAGGCTTGGTATAATGATCCTTCGAATGATACTTCTGATATAATAATAATCACGAGTGATCTAACGATCTGATCAGCACGTCCTGATGGTTATCTCTGGCTTTTCATTGGTTCCACTTGATCCACTGGTGTCTGGCATCATCCAATCGGGTAGTCGAAGATTTGAAGTATCGACGCAGTTTAGAAACATCTTCTGCGATGGGCTTTCAAGTTCTTTTTACGAATTTCTTTCTTCTTCGCGAATTCGAGATGGAATTTCTCCGGTTGAATTGCTGAATGGTACCCGGTTGAAACCCATAAAATATCGCTCACTGATTACGGGGTGGAGATGCGTCTCAAGACGACCATAAAGTCAACTTCAGAAGCTGAAAATTCAACCTTCGTCATAACTCGTTTTTTTTTATTATTTATTATTTTCCTAGCGGTGTAGCTTATTTTGAGAGGGTATTAATTCGGCTCTCAGGGCTTCGTCCTTGTCCTCGGCCATTCCGAAACCTTCGAGAGATAAAAGTGAGACAAACGATCCACCGTATCGAAACCAACCAGCGATATAATCCAGCGTCTAGATATCCAATTTGTTTAAACCAGGAGAAATATCATATTAATGGAGTGATGAGCCATGGAAAATTCATGTACCGTTTGCAATAGAAAATTTGTACAAATTATATTTATTAGTCCCTTTCTCGATTTTATCGTTGCGTAATTCATGATGCACGCGGTGAATCGATAATCGATACTCACGTGCCGTACAGACTCCGTGCACGCCTCTCGGTGAAAATCCGAGTGAGGGGAAAAAGAGGGAAAAAAGGGGGTAAAAAAACTATTGGTGCAATGTGTGTACTTATCGCATCGACTTCTTCGCGCTAGGAGTTTTATCAGTTCTGAGGATCATGGAGATGTGCAACTACACCGGCTCTCTACAAGGACCAAGCCAACACCCACACCTTCTCTCCTTTATTTGGATATAAAATAGAGGTTCGCCATCCAGCCATCCTAATAATGATATTATTCAACGGGTTCTATAAGATTACCGGCAAAGGGATACGCCAATCATGGCGTCATGACCGTCCGATACGAATTATCAATTCATAATTGATTCCATCTGATCGAATTCCATCGAATTCCATCGATGTCGATTCATATCGATTCGCCATCGATTCATAATCGAGATAATTGTTCGTATACTTCATAATATATTATATTAATATATTATATAGACTCAGGAAAAATTAATGGCCGTAGAATCCGGATGATGGATCGGTCTCGTGAAGTTTTTAGAGTTGGGATGACGCAGATCGTTTCGGGTGAATTTAATTATGTGAAACACCAACAGTTTGACAATATCATGAATGGCCGAGTGTTAGAGCCATTGCTGCCAGCATAAGTTACACGCCAAACGATTCACCGATGAAATACTACCGTGTGATAATGTCCCTTCAAGTACAGATGGAATGTGTCGTTAATGCACCTTGAGTGTGAGCAAGTCGAGTTTAAAATCAAATTCTCGAGTGGTATGACGATTCACTGTTATTATTCGTCAGTGGCAACGACAATCTCCTGTTTCTGCTTGGGGAAGTTATATTTTAATGGTCGTAAAGACTCGAGTGTAACTTATCACTGGATATTCTGTTGATGAGGCATGCTCAGTCTTTTCATGCAAATGCACGAGTGTGATGTCTCATGATCTCTTCACGGAAATTCAAGAGCCCTTATCTGTCCATTGGTTTATGGGCATCAGGCTTCTGGTTTTGCAAAACCCGGTAGTGATAGACATTCGGGAAAATCGTTGATGCGAAAACTGGTAGAGCCATCATGGCTTGGTGAATTTATGGCGTAATATCTGGTCCCGTGATTATTACGTATAGTTCTTGTTGGTTGTTCTTGTGTCTTCAGGGCATCATCTGCCGGTAGTTCCGACGGTGGATATCCCGTGGGAATTGGAAGATTGTAGCTGGTTTGATGGGTCAATCAAGGG